CAGCTCCTGCTGTGAGGAAATTGCAATGTCAGTATAATACTTGTTGGCAAGGTTTTTCTGAGGTTTCTGAATTCCAGGTCATAACACACACACACCAGAGCTGTTGCACCTTTCCCCAGGCCTCCTCTAGAGGTACTTTGCAGACTGATGAGGCAGAGGTCACTGGGGCTGTGGTTGGGGTTTGTCTGCTCCTTCCCTACCTTCCTATAAGTGATTCTTCTGCTGGGGCTGTTGTGCATATGAAAGGTCAGGCTTAAAGGCTCTGTCTGCTCTCAGGCTGCAGGAAAAGCACTGGTTTCCTGGCAGACTGTGACAGGCAGCTCTGCTCCTTTAAATAAAAAGTGGCAAGCGGTAAGGCATTTAAATTATTCTGAAATGGTAGAACTTGCAGACACAAAAAGCTAAAAGAGTTGGAGGCAAAAAACCCCCAAACCTAGATAAGACGGATGACATGGTTCAGGGTGAAAAATCTCTTCGTGGATGCTGCATTCTTGCAGCCCCAAGTGTGCTCAGTGCTGTACATGGTGCAGTGCCAGGCCAGGACTTGGGCTTCTGGATTTGCCCATATATTCCCTGCATGGCTTTGTGCAGCACTTGAAAATATTTCTGCACCTTCTTTTTTGTTCAACCATGTGCTATTCAGGATCAACATTAATTACCCTGAAGACAGAAAGGTGAACTGCAAAGCCCTTAGATGTCTTCAGAAGGAAAGTGCTGGCCAGTGGAGGCTGCTGATTGGAGGGAGATGTAAGACCTGTCCAGCAAGGACACAGCCGGGACCCCCCAGTCAGTGGGATTTTAGGCAGGGTGTTGAAGGCCACTTGAGTGAAACTTTCTGTGAGCCTGGGACTTTAATCAGCATTTAAACACTGTACAAACACCCTAGGTAGATAGGCAAATGCACGTGAAACCCTCTGGGCAAGCTGTTGATGAAGGAAAGCAAGTGCAGAGAGAGCAGGAGCAGCACTGGCAAGGGTGGCTGCAGTCCTTGGCATGGTGTGTGTTCCCTGTGATAGAGCCTGGACCTCCTGTGCTAAGTGAGTGCTACTGGCTCCATCCCATTCTGCAGCCCAGATACGCTTCAGGGCTCTTCAAAGGGATAAAAATATATTTTTAACCTGAGGCAGCTGCCTTTTTTTGTGTGGTACATTTTTTTCATCTAGCTCTGGAAGTGACAGGTTGTTTTTCAGCCCCTCTGTTTCTCAGCTGTCTCGGCAGAGGTGCCTAGAGGTCTCAAACCAGATTCCCGAAAATTTTAGCACTGGAATTTGGTAGTCGCTTTTGAAAGTGTTGGCAAGAAGGTGCAGCTCCCTACAGACGTTAAGTGATGGCCATTTGAACAGGCTTTTTCTTCAGCCAAGTCCTTGCCCCGTTGAAGTGAGTGGGAATTTTCCTTGAAAAAGGCCATAAAGAAATCATTTTCTTGGCAACTAGAGAGGTGTTTCATGGACTTTACATCAACATTCAGAAGAACTGCAGCTATCTGCTTTGATGCCTGCTACACTTGTCCCACCCTGCACAAAGCTCTCTACCTTTTGATCCGAAATAACACAGGAGATGTTTTCCACATGCCATAAGAAAGGACTATAAAACAATTGTTTTGGAGTTTGGCACCACTCCCTCACAGATATATTTAGTGTGAATTAAAATTGGTCAGCAAAAAGGCGTTGGCCAGGATGATAGACAGATTAAGGCTCTGTGTCTTGAAGCTATTACAAACCTGCCCATCCCATGCTAGTAGGGGTGGTAGGTGGCTTCATTAGTTCACGGGTTGCAATAAACAAGCATGACTTGCAGCTTTTGGGCAGCATTAAAAAGCATTAGCTGGCTGTAAGAGGGGTGTTTTGGCTTGTGGCATGCTCTGGGCTGTCCTGACCTTGAGTCTTTATTTCTCCACTCTTCTTGTTGCTCCCTGGCCCTTCTGTTCTTTCAAATGTGGTCCATCACACCTGGTGCTCAGCCTTCACCTGTGCATGCTGCTTGTTCTGAAAGAAACACTAGTGCTCTGCACATGGGGCCAACCTCTTCTCTCTCATCTCCTTTCCTCTGTGATGAAGCTACTCCTGGAAGCTCCAAGTTAGGATAGCTTCTCCTAAGAGCAGCACCAGATTTGGGAGAGGGAAAACCTGCAATGGGGTGCTGCCCTCAGCCCCAGGTGGACCAGTCCAGGTTGGCAGCAGGGTCAAAGGCATGGCTGACTTGGCCTTGGAGAGGAGAGCTTACAGTCAACAGACCTTCCTGGCTGCTGATCCAGTCTTGCTTCTGTGATTGTGCCTGGGGAGCCAAGACCAATTTCTCCTGTCCCTGGGTGTGTTCATGCACATTGGCTTGCACACTCCACTCCCATCAGTGGTTTTCTTTGGGCTGATATTTGTTAGCATTGGAAAGTGAGAAAAATGAGCAAAAATATTATCAGAAGCAGGTTTTGTGAATGAATCAGCCGACAAGAGGCTTACCAGCTCGCCTGCATTTACTAGCATGGTGCTTATTTGGGCAGACGTCTATATATTTTAGTTGGAGGCAGGAAGGAGTGAGAATGGATGGGGAAAGACATCACTTCCAGTTTGCTGCTTTTCTGTCAGTTTGTACCATCTCTTTCTGAATGAAAGGCGACTGCGGTGTGTCTGAGAAGCTGCCCTGCTGCTGCCCTTGTTCTGCTGTTGTTGACAACTTGGGGGGCACCAAAGAGAGGAGCACAAAAGAGGTCAGAAGGCTAAAACTCTCCTAAGCAGCTTGTTGAGGATCAGGGCCTGACTAGCCTTGCCCCTCTCTTCATGGTGCCTTTTTATTTGATCCTCTCTAGAGGCGGCCTCATGGCCTTCTCTCTTCTCACTATGTGTTTCTAATTAACGGGGAGACTGGCGTATAAACAGAATATTCTTGCTCAAAATATTGCTTGTCTGACTCCTAGGATGATGGCCAGATGGCAATCACCAGACAGCAGCCTAGACTTTGAGCTCGCCCATCTGGCTATCAAACCTGGTCTCAGTTCTCATCTGGAACCAGAACTGAGGAAAGAAATGGACTTTGCCAGATTGGTTTTGCCCCATGTTTCCTTTTCAGTTGCTACCTAAGCAGCTAAAAACCTGCAGACCAAATGTATTTAGTATTTCTGGAAATTGTGAAGAAGTTCAAAAAGGTACTGGATAAATCCACTGAGGCATGGGTCTTTCGGTGGCTTTTGAATCTTGTGGGTCAGATGCAGTCTTCAGCCATGAAAGAGCTTTTACTGCTGGTCTGCAGCACAGACTGGGAATTGTCTTTTTGCTTCCAAGCAGCTGCCGATGGTCTGTCATGAATGGCAGGCTGGGCTGGATGACTCCTTGACCCAGCACACCTGGGCCATCTTGGCATCAGGCATCTGCATGTTTCCTGAGTAAGTTCAGACAAAACTCTTCTTGCAGTTTCTTCTTTGTGAGCTTGGGGTTGTAATGAAGAGCTCTGAAAAGAGCTTAGAAAGCTTAGAAATAAAACACTTTGTATTACTATTTTTCACACTGTCATGACAGTGGGGCTATGCCCTAACAAAACATCATCATGTGGACTCTGAAAAAACAAACTGCTAACATCTGTAAATGCTCTGTATGCTTGGTCCTCTGAGAAGCCATAAATTAAGCACTGTTATGTGAGCTAAAGCATTGCTTGCCCTGCATCATGCACAGTTTGATATGATTTCTTTACCCCTACTGCTGAGTTCCATAATGCTGGAAAGCTGAAATTGGAGGTGCCAGAGAGAATTCTGATGCTGGGAAGTTGGGTGCTACAGTTCTTCCTTGGCAATACAGAAATACACTTCCTGTTTGTCACCACCCCCAGAACAGCCTGGTCTGTCCCCTGGTCTGGCACCTATGGAGCTGCTGAAGAGGTCTTACATAGAGAGAGAGATACAGAGACATACAAAGCCTTGCCTGGGTTATTGCACTGGGAGGTGATGGGCATGTGTGGGTTCAATCCTAATTTGGGCTGGAAGGGACCTCTGGAGGTCTTGCTTCAAGTTCCAGGTTAACTCAGGATCAGCTTCAATATTATATTCAGCTGTAGTATTAGATGTGCTTGCTCGGCCAGATCAGAGCAGGCAACAAGGAACGATCAGCTGTCACCTCCTGGGCATTTGGAGCAAACAGGAGGAATTGAGATCTGTCCTCGTTGCCCCTGCAGAGATGGTGTCTGCAGCATTGTGACCATCGTATCCTGCTGTGGCAAGGTTTGCTCTCACAAATTCCCAGTGAATTGGGAAAATGCTTAAAGTGCAGAGGAGATGGGAAAAGTCCAGAAATCCCCAGATTTCTGCTAACTGATTTTGAAATGGCTGAACTAGCTGGGATCTTGTGGCTTTCAGCAGTGGCAGAGTTGTGACTGTTCCACTGTCAGCAGAAGTGGTCAAATGCAGAAGTAGGTAGAAGCTAAACGAGTAACACAGTGTATGACAAATAGTGGGGAAGATGGTATGGCAAGGATGATGATCACTGAAATGGCAGGATCTCCAAAGGATGTTAGGGTGGCCACATGGCCGCAGAACAGAGGTGAGATATTTTTGAAAGCAGGCCTGAGGATTTATTTTAGCACATGAATATTGAGTAAGTATTCCTGGAGGTACTCTGGGGGATGATAGGTGGACTCAAGGTATTGTTACTAATCACTGTGGTTTCTAAGTGTTGGAGCTGAAGTACACTTGGCATCTCTAATGCAACTGGACTTCTGATGGGAAAATTGCATTCTTGGGAAGTAATTTAGAAGGTCACAGAAAAGCCAGAAAGAACTTCTCCAGAAGCGATTTCCCTTGCTCTCTAAACTGTCTTTTAGAGTGGTAATAACTCCAGAATGAAAGGATCTATTCTCACCTTCCAGATGAAAGGGCTAATGCAATTTAAAATTTTTGCATGCAAAGATTTTATGGCTTGGTAACCAGCCACATCTGAAAATGATCCAGGGCAGGATGAACATGTGAGGCAGCGCCTGACTGAGCTGGACGCTTTCCTTGTCTGCCCTGCCTCCTGCAGATAATGGTGATGACCGGTCTGAGAGCATTCTTGCTGAGAACCACGTGGATGGCACCGTGGGGATCCTGAGTGGAGCTGGAGGGAGGAAGCCCATGAAGACAGGCATGAAGGAGCTGGCAGTGATGAGGGAGAAGGTGAACGAGCAGCAGCGGCAGATGGGCAAAGTCAGCAAGGCCCATCACAACCACGAGGACTCCAAAAAGTCACGGCTGTCGACGGGCAGGGTGAGAGGGCAAAGCTGTGGGGAGATAAGGGGGGCAGCTGTGGGCTCACTGGGAAATGCTGAATGCAAAGCCTAAGTGGCATCTGCAATAAACAATCTTAAAAACAGGAAAAAAAAATTAAAAAGTGGGGAGAAGCAAAAGAGGAAAAGCAAACATTTTTGGCCTGATGCTGGGGCTGAACACACCATCTGATGAACTTTGATATGCTGGTCAGGAGGCATAATATTCATTGCAGCTTCACCTCCAGAAGAGAGGTTTCTGCTGGCTCAACACCCACCTCTGCAGGGGTGCAGCTGTGCCCTTTGCCCATGTACTGGCTTTCTCGCACCCTTTTTCCCTAAGCAGGCATGGCCCAAGGGGATTTGAGGGGCCTGAAGCAAGGCTGTCTCCCTGCTGCAGGGCAGTCCCAGTCCAGGTTAAAGAAGGCCACAAGCCCCGAGGATGACCTGTGTGACTGTCCTGTCAGGGAGCGTGCGCTAAGATCGCCCAGTCTCCTTGCCCTGTCCCTGTTATCCTGTCTGTTATCCAGTTCTTGGCCGTGGCTTCCCTCTAGTGGGAAGCTTGATCAAAGCAACTTGATGGGATGGAGATGGAAACCCACCCCAAAGGGTTCAAAATATACATCCCTGTAAACATACAGAGTATTAGTATCTGGGGAGCACAGGGGGACAGAAAAGAGCTTTAAAAGAGTCCTCATGCCTTCCAAGGACTAGGCAAAACAGAAGTTCGAAATAAAATGCAGGCACTATCAACTTTGAGAGCTCACACACTGCTGCTGCTTCTTTGCAAAAAAAACCAAACAAACAAAAAAAAACAACAAAAAAAGCCCTCACCCACTGCAAAAGCAAAGAGGTGTGTGGACTCAGTTTGGCTCACATGAGATATATTTAAACCACACTGCCTTGGCTGGAAGCCCTGTCTTGCTGTGGAGCAAGAAGGATGCCTCCAGAGCCTGGCTTTGGGTACTCCCATTCCCAGGTCTTCCTCTCCGCTCCCATGGAGTCTCACATGCTTTTGAGTTTGACTTCTGGGCCAAAACTGCATCACAGGTGTGTGCTCTGGGCTATGCTTATGGAAACCTTCCTCGTCTTGTCTGGACTAGCCCTGCTTCATGCCACTTATCACCACCAGTGGGAGCCATGGTAGCCTCTCTGAGGTTTCTCCTCTGTATATAGGACTTGGGACCTAGTATTATGTTGGCTCTTGGTCCTGTCAGGTACATGGGAGCTGTGCATGTCTGATTTTGGGTGCCTGGAGGTGAAGTCTGCAGCAGGACCTAGTGGCAGACCTGCGTCTTTAGGGATGCACGTGTGTTCATCCCTACTGGTATTCCCATTGTCCACAGTGTTGATGCTGCTGGATGGTACCATTGTCCTGATACATATATTTTTTTTTTCTGTTTTCAGACCCCTTGTCAGCAGGAACTAGATCAGGTCCTGGAACGCATATCCACCATGCGGCTGCCAGATGAGCGAGGGCCCCTGGAACACCTCTACTCCCTTCACATCCCCAACTGTGACAAGCATGGCTTGTACAATCTCAAACAGGTAAGTGGGGAGAGTGGGAACTCCGGGCTGTCTATGTTTCCAGCAGAGCCCTTGGTTCCCTGTCCGTCCCCACCACGTGCAGACACAGAACACGCATAATTTAGGGCTGGGCTGATAACCTGTGCATGATGTGAGGTGTGGGGTAAATGGCAAATGCTGCATGTGGCATGGACAGGTTTAGATACACTCAGGTGTATCTGCAGCCACAGGTTTGTGAGCAGAGATGAAATCCACATCCGCACACGGCTGTGGGCAGTCCAGAGATGGAGAATCAGTTCTTCTTCCCCTTTGAGCCAGGTCTTGTCCTGTCTGGGCCTTGATGCAGGAGGAAGGCAGAGAGGGACTGAATACTGACCAGTCTTGCAGACAAAGCAGAAGGCACTTCTGGGAATCAGGAGGAAGGTTTCTACTGCATTTTACTGGTTTTCCTCCACAAGTTGAGGCTGGTCCCACAGCTCCAGGAGGGATTCCTTCCAGGCAGGGTGGGGGTTGGGGTGCAGCATGCTTCTCAAGGTATTTATGGGACCCAGAAGAACTCAGAAAACCTGAGTGTCTGAATTCTGACTTCCTGGCTTCATGAGTGCAAAACCACCAGATATCAGTGGCTGAGGAATGGGGAAAAAACTGCCAGGAAAAACTGACTGATGCAGGGTTGACTGGAGTCACCTGTGAACAGTACCTGGCTATCAGGATCTCTGGTAGCTGATCCTTTGGAGAGGATAGATGCTGTTTTCATGACTAGGCCTTTTACTCAGGGCTACTTCTGCCCCTTGATCAGAAGCATTAAATAAATAAAAAAATAGTATGCTCTGAGAGAATCTCCCTCTGTCTGTTCTCCTGTCTCTGTCCACTTGCACTTTCACCCATTCACCCCTGAAGAGCCCCATGGGCTGGCTGGATCCCTCAGCATGAACACACTTGAAGGGCTGGATGGAGCAGAGCTGGCAAATTGCCTATAAGATGAGCCATGTCTGGGGAATGAGCCTGGACACTGCAGTGATGCTTTGTGTGCTACACAAGTAAAAACAGTCTCTGCTGCTCCTTAGGGAACAAGTCAGCCTGCACTGGCCTGTGTGGAGTAACCTCTGTATCCTGCTGGGGCTGGGGGGATGAACATCAGGTTCCAAGTGCCTGCAGCACTGCAGTGTAGGAGAACAATAACTACTAGACCAGTAAACTTTTCTCTAATAAGACTGGGAGGACAGATGCACCATGGTCCCCAACTCTGTTGTGGGATGAGAGAATCTCTGTTTGGTCTGGCTGTGGAGGCCTTGATGTGATGTTTGTTTAGGCTAATCTGCAGGTGAGAAGAATCTTATAAAGCTCCTCTGTCAATCTGTCTCATCCCTCTTTCCCAAGGGATCTTTGGATGCTTTCATCCACAGCTGGCATAGGGTGATGCATTTCAGGGACACTTGTCCTTCCGGTTCATTAAAATTGGCTTTTTGGTCCTTGGCACAGCTCCTGGGAAAGAGGTTCAGCCCTCACCCTGGACTGCTAGAGTAACACTCCAGGTGCAGCATACACTCTGGCAGGTTTGAGTACAGCATCCCATGGATTTTGCCTGAATCTAAACCAGTGCCAGATCACCAGAGAAATCCCACCTCTGCCAGTGCTGGGGCTTTGAGCTGGGTGACCTGGGAAGTGGTTTGTTTTGTCCTTTTCTTGACTCTGGTACCTGTCCTGTCCCTCTCCATGCAGTGCAAGATGTCGGTGAATGGGCAGCGTGGCGAGTGCTGGTGCGTGGACCCCATCCACGGGAAAGTGATCCAGGGAGCACCCACCATCCGCGGGGACCCCGAGTGCCACCTCTTCTATACAGCCCACGAGCAGGAGGACCGGGGAGCACATGCCCTACGGAGCCAGTAGACAGATGTGATCTTGCTGGCTGGAGGTCGCTCACTGTTGCCCCAGTGCTGGATTTTACATGGGTTTCAGCGTGTCTCTCTAGGCTCTGGAAGAGACTGGGTGCTGCCCTCCTTCCTCAGCTGCCTGGTTCCTGGGGAGGGGAGGGATAATGGGAGGGGAAGGCGGTGGGGGGTTTGCAAGGAGAAGGGACTGCTTTCTTAGTCTTTCACCCAACATAAACCAGAGAACTGGTCTTTTTTGCTCCTCGCCCTCCCTGCTGCTTTGCGGCATCTTTCTGCACCCTCCAGCACAGAGTGCCATGTGCTCCCTGACCCCTCCCAGGGGACAAAATCCCTTGCTATGAGTGGGAGAAGGTAAAAAAAAACAAAACAAAGAGCCCAGCCTTTCCCCCTCTTTTTCTCTCTTCCCCAAGACCAAAGACTGTAAATACTGTCACCTGCCTCTTGTGTCCTGCCAGTCAGTCTCTTGTGCCCCAGCCCAGCCATCAGTTCTGGCATGGGATGTGATGTGAGAGGGAGGGAAGGAAGAAAGACCGGATTCCCAGCTGGAACTTACCACCACAGTTAGGATGTGTTCCCCAAGGAAGCAGCAGTGAGGGAAAGGGCTAAAGATGAGATAGCTGCCACTTTGCCCCCTAACAACACTCTTGGGTGCTTCCTTTGCTCGTGCTAGGGCACAGCCAACTCCACAGGGACCCAGCTTCAGCCACTGGTCTGGAAGCATGGGGCCTTTGGGTGATAGCAAAGCTAAATGCTTGTTTTTCCAAGGGATTTGAAGGGCTTTTGCACAGTATTTCTTAGAATCAGCTTATGCCGAGGGAGCTAAAATGAACTTGCTGAGGCTGGGTGGAAGGATGTGTATGTAGATTTAGGATAACAAGCCAGGGAATGTCTCTCTTTCTCTCATTCATTTTTTTTCTTTATTTCTAGATAGGAAAAAACAAAACAAAACATCTAAAACCTGCATTCCCAAGCAGCTGCCCTTGTCCCTCCATTTTTGCTTGGGACTGAAGTGAGCACCTGTTATTCAGCACATAACTTTTTCTTTTTGTAAGTAAATTCAGTATATATCTTGCTGTGTAAAGGCTCTCACACTCACACACACACATACAACCACACACACACAAACACACTTCTCTGCCTACATACACATTTGTATAGATGAAATCCAAGTGATTCCAGGTGCTCTGAGAGGTTTTGTGCTGGACATGCTGAGGAGAGATGTGTCTCTGCTGTTAATTCACCTGTTGGTTTCTTCCTGTACAAAACACACTGATGCTGAGAATAAATAATTTCCCCATTGCCTAAGAAAGGAGGTTTTATTATTTTCTTCCTTTTTCTTTTTTTTTTTAATATGGATGTCCTTATTAGAGCAATTGCAAAAACCCTCTCCTTGGAGTAAACATCTTGGGCTTTTCTTAATGGTTTGTTGGTTCTTGGACCCACATTTCAGATCCAAAGTGTAAAGGGCACAAGTGGGCTCTGTAAATTAGGGCCCTCATGCCTTTGCAGGGGTTTGGATATGGCAGTGGAGGAGACAGGGGAAGGACCCCCTTTGGAAAGTCGGGATGGGCATATGTGGATGTGTATGAATGGGAGTGCATGAAAGAAGAAAACACACCTCCGTGCAAAACCAAGAAACTGTAAAAATGATGCTACCTGTTTTCTGTTAACATCTGAGGGTGTTCTGCTTTTTCATATAAAACTTGCACATGCTGGCTCTCATCTGCAGTTTGCACTTTGTTTTGTTTAGGAATAGGGAAGTTTTCTTACATACTTGCCTTCTTCCCTTTTAAGAAAGCTGAGCTACATAAAGTTGGAATAAATTAAATAAGATGCCAGAAAACTTGTCTTTCCCTTCCACAGTGCTCGCAGGACATGTTTCTTTGCCTGCTGCATCACATGCAGATTTGTCCCTGTTTGGCCTTTGTCCATGGCCAATAGGCAGTAATGGGAGCTGAGCTTTTCATTGTTACTGGCCCCGTTTATGAGAGCAGGGAGCAACTGGTGTCTTTGTTGGTGCCAATATCCTGCATCCAGGGTGGCTATGGTTTCCCTTTGGACACCCCAAAGTGAGGCAAAACCACTGGGCTTCTTCCCCTTCTGTTCTGCCCCCTGCCATGAGTTTCAGACTGACACATATTGAGGGGCTTGCCAGTGATGAGGAGCACTCATCATACAGGAAACTGTATGGGGACAAGATGCAGTGAGTGCTTGGGGCTGCAGGGGAGGGGAAAGAGGACAGGCACGATGGGAGGTGGGATATAAGCTGGAGAACATGGGAAAAGTAGCAAAATTGATATGCTGTTCTGTGCCTCTTGGGTGAGCTGGAGGTGGCTCAGGTGATGCCATGGGGGGAATGCTGTGTAGCAGGGTAGGTGCTCCGAGCCAGGTGCTGCCCAAAGGCAGCTGGAGGTGACACAGATGCCCAAGCCCAGAGCCCAGCAGTGCTTGGGGCCACTCTCGCATTCAAAGGCTAGAGGGGAACAAACATGAGCTGTGACTCCTTTCACTACACCAGGTTGCTCCAAGCCCCAGCTAACCTGGCCTTGAACACGGCTGTATCCACAGCTTCTCTGGGCAACCTGTTCCAATGCCTCATCATCCTCACAGTGAAGAATTTCTTCCTTGTATTTTTAGTATAAAAACCTGTGCAGTAGTGTAATATAAACAATTATATTTAATATGAAGAACATCATTAGTGTAAGAACGTATGACTGTATCTGTGTGCAGCTGCAGCTACTTACACACGTGTATACAGCTCCAGCTGTCCTTAGGGGTGTGATTTATTAGCCCGTAGCTGAAGGCAGCGCGACCTTTTTGGCCAGCAAGCCCAGCTGCAGGGCCCGCGCGGCTGGGAGCGGCGGCACCGCGGCCCTGCCCGGCCGGCCGCGCCATGAGGGCAACGCGGGCGGGGCTTGGCGCCGCCTGGTGGCGGCTGCGGCGCCGCGCGGCTCCCGCTCCCTGTGCGGCCCGAGGGGTCGGGCTGGGCCCTGTGGGGTGTCCGGGGGGACGGGGTGTCCATGGGGGGATAGGGTGTCTATGGGGGATAGGGTGTCCATGGGGAGATAGGGTGGCTGTGCCAGCTCCCTGTGCTGCAAGATGGGTGCGGGATGCATTGTTAGCACAGCCCTGGCAACCCACGGTCCTCAGTGCAGGGCCAAAGGGGATGGTTTCGCCTCCCACCCAGCTCTGGGCGCACAGGGTGATGGTGGCAGGTGAATGGAGGGGAAGAGGGGCACAGGAGAAGGGAGATCGGGGGGCAGTGGGAGAATGAAGGTGATGGCTGCCTGGGCGGTGGGGCAGGGTCAGATCCAGCACCGGGAGGGCAGTGAGATGAGCCACCAAGAGCTACCAGAGTGTTTAAGGACCATGGCCTGGCTGGGCTGAGCATCCAGGGATGTTCCTGCCACTGGGACGTTGGGGCAAACCTTCCAGCAGCCCCAAGAGGTCTGAGACTCAAATAGCGTGTCTGCTCCCAAACTGCAGAGCTCAGTTTGAGATCACATTCAGGGGCCTAACATCACTGGTTGCTAGGGACTGTGCCCTGGTACGCTGGTTGAATGTGTGTGCTCTGCCCCACTGCTACATCCATGCAAAGAAAATTCAAAAAAAAATACTAAAAAAAAATTACAGTTCTGCTTGCAGGAAGCTGGAAGGTTAAGCTTGCAACTTTTACCAGTCACCTAGCAGATTGCTCTAGTGTCAAAAGCTCCCCTAAAGCATTGCCCTCATTTTATCCCATGCCCTGTAGCTCCCTGAACACCTTTGTGGAGCCGGCTGAGCCCCCCAAGAGACCCAACACAGGCGGCCGTGGGGTGCTCGGGGCTGGAGCAGCTCACTGGCAGGCCCTGGCATACAGATGCTCCATAAGGGTCAGGCACGAGCTAACTGAATGCATAACTTTATTAAATAAATGCTTTGTCATGAGAAAAGACAAAGATCAAAGAGTAACATAAATTATAAGTTGAATAAATAGTATACAGCAATCTTCACTTTTTAATAAAATGTGAGATTTTTTTTTTTAAGTACAAAATGCTAAACAGAGCATTAAGCTCTTCTTCCATTGTCAGTTTTTCACAAACTGCTTTTTTTTTTTTTTCCCACCAGTAAGATTATGAGTATTTCTTGTTTACTGGAAAAAAAAAAAACAAAACAACAAAACCAAAACGAAACAACAGAGCTACCGTATGTATGTAAAGCTATAAAAAGCTACCGTAAAATGTGTAGTGAGTATTGCTTAAAGATAAAAACCAGGCAGGAAACTCGGAATCTGGTGTGTTTTAACAACTGTGTTACAACGGTGGGTAACGTGCGTGGTGACGTCTGTCCCGGTGGCAGTGGCGGCAGCTGGTGGGGCTGGGGAGGGGGCCACAGCAGGCAGGGCTCCTAGCCAGGGCCAGGACAGCGGTCTGGAAGCGAGGTGAACTGACAGTTCTTTAAATATACAATGCTCCATTTGGGGGGAAAAAAAATCAACAACAACAACAAAACAAAACAAAAGAAAACTAAACCAACAGCAAAGAATTTTCATGGGGAAGGTGGAGAAAAGGGGAAGGGGGAGAGAGCAGAGAAATAGTGCAAAATGCTCTTGTACTAGTGGTTTTCAAAGTCCACTGCAGTACAGACAAGGGGTAGCCCAGCCACTCAGCGCCACTCCCTGGGCAGATGTGGTGGAAGGGCTGTCCTGAGCCATCCTTGTCCTCTCCTTCCCAGCTCGCATCCGAGATACCAACGTGGGCTTGGCGCAAATTCCGTAGCCAGAGACCCCTGAGCCTCACGATCCCCCCAATGCACAAATTGCCAGCATCTCCTGGTGTGCCACAACTCTCCCCAGCTTCCAAATCTGCCCCTTCTGGTTCTCTCATCCTAAATGCAGATGGGTGCTGCTGGGTGCTGAGAATGGCAGCACCTCATCACTGCCACCCCAGAGGGTGACCAAGCCCTCCTGAAGTCACTCTCATTCCCAGCCCAACCCAGGCTTCAACCCTAGTCCTAAATTTAAGTGCAGCCTGTAAACAGCCTCGTCCTGCCAGGGATCTTTAAGGGAGTGGACAGCCGTGGGGGGCTTGATGCCCCAACCTGGGAACCGAGGTGATCTGGGGGATGAGGGTGGTGCAACCCAAATGTCCATCATCCTCCCCCCAGGTTCGTGGGGACAGGACAGGCAATGCCTTCCTAGCATGGGGTGTGCAGGGGCATGGGAGGCTGTGTGGGATGGATTTTGGTACTCTGGGCTCCCAGGGCCCAGACTTGTTTTGTAGGGAGAGGACGGAGCATCACCCTGTGTCCCCTTCCCAGTGCCTGTGGTGGCCTCATTGTAACACCACAGTGGGGCCCTGTGAGCTAACCTTCACCCTGCAAAAGCATCCTCCCCAAAAGGCAAGGTCCATGGGAATCTGCTGCCCTCTGCCTGCTCCCATCCCACCCCAGGGGCACATCTCCTTTCTCTGCAGCCAAAGGCTTTCAAGTTTTGGGAAATTAAACAATGAAACAAACAAACAAATAAAAAGGCAAGAAAAAGGAAAAGAGAAGGAAGGAAGGGTCCTGGGAAAGGTGGTACTGGCCTATGACAATCAGGAGGTTTTGCACAGGGATCAGCAAGCAGACAGTGTCAACAATGGTGTCCAGTGGCCCTTGGGGTTAGCTCCTCCTCCTGATGTCTTCACCCCATTCTTCACTCCTCTTGCACTCCAGAATTGACCCACCACTCTGGTTAAACCAACCCTGCTCCATCAGCCCTGCAGAGCCTGGAGGGGTCCTTCTCTCAGCCCCCACCATGCTCCCCTCCACCAACACCTAGTTATCCCGCTCCAACAGGCTTTTTTGGGGGCAGATCTGCATTTGGTGGCACACTTCCTTCTTTTCAGCATGGGAAGGTGCTTTCTCCCCAGGCTGAAATGTGTTCTGCTGGGTGTCCGTGGAAGTCCATAGGTAAAACGTGCCCCACTGTCACTTGGAGGGAAATAACTGCAGGTGTCCAGTCCTGCCCTCCATCAGGGTAACATCCTGGTGGGGGGCCCACGAGGTGCTTAGGGGAATAATGTCATCTCATGGGAGGCTATGAGGGCTCCCAACCTGTGATGGCAAGAAGCCTTCACCAGAACCCCTTAGTGCGGAATCCCCTTTGTCCCATCCCCACTGGTGGGGCCCCAGTGGTGCTGTGGACCTCCATTTTTCTCTGCCCAGGTCCAGGAAGCTCAAAGGGATTTAGGGGTTCAGGAACCTTCCACCTGAGATCAGCTGTGTCCTTTGGCCAGTGCTGGCTGCCAGCTCCAGCTGTGGCAGTAGGATGTGGTTCCCAGTGGGAGT